TTGTCTTCTATTTTATAGGGTCCTATTTTCAATTCGTCTAGTTTTTTTCGGTTTAACCGGTTTCCGTTTTCCACATATACAGAATCTCCAACTTTTAATTCATAATGTTTTCGGTGTTTATCAAATCTTTGTTTATTATAATTGTGGATTTCATACTATTTTCTAACGCATTTTTTCGGTCTCGGAATAGTTGATTATGTGTTATATTTTGCTTTAGTTCATCTGGTAGAATGTCAACATTTTTTCCCTCCAATAAATATTTTGGAGAGAACCCTGTCACACTATGTTCAGTTTCGTTATATCTTTCAGTGCATTCGTGAGCAATAGTTGTCCAAGCAATTTTGTCCTTTCTTTCATTAATCTTGCAACGAATTTTGTTAACCAACGTTTGGTTTAACCTTTCGTTCAATCCATTTGAAAATGGCGCATTTACTGCTGTGAAAACTATAGGTATAATCTTCTTTTTCTAAAAAAATTTGAAATCCTTTGAATTTAGGCCGGGATATTGGTCTGATAGAATTAAGTTTATTTTATAATCTTGTGTTACTTTTTTGACAAGTTTTATAAAATCACTCGCATTCTGTGTTTTGGATGTCAAAATAAAAGCGTAGCGGGTAAAGTGATCTACTAGAAGGTGTAAATATGTTTTAGTTGAACGAGCACCACCAAATCCCCCTATGGTGTCTATGGACACTATTTCGAATGGGTAGGTAGCGGGACCTAAGTGAGACATAAGTCCAAATTTGTATTTTCCTCTAGATTTGTTTTTTAAGCAGACATCACAGTTTTCACAATGTTTTTTTATATTATCTAACAAGTTTTTAGCTTGATAAAAAGCTTAATTTTTTTTTCCATTTGTTGTCTTCCTATGTGACAGTAGTGGTGATGTACTGTTTTTATAATCTTTTTACTAAATTCCTCAGTTAGTACTATCTTTTCATATTTTCCTATCTTCTTATAATATATATTATGTTTGAAAATAAGTTTGTTTATATTTTGTTTTATATCCTCATTATTATTTGATCATTTTGAATGTCTTGAATCTAATAAAATTTACTACTTTTAAACTGCTGTCTTGATTTTCAAACGGTTCTAACACTGGGTTTCTGCTTAATGTATCTGCCTCTATATTATATTTTCCTGGAGAATATATTATTTTAAAATCGAATTGCGACAAATAGTACGTTAAATCTCCCAGTTCTTCATCCGTTCGGGCTTTAATATTCATTTTTTCTAAAGGTTTGTGATCTGTAAAAACCGTGAATGTTTTTTCCTATAAGCCAGTGTTGCCATTTTACTGCCTCTCTTTATTGCCAAACACTCAAGATATATGGCTTTTTTTTTTTTTGGGAGTCGTTTAATTTTTTTGAAAAATATGCACAAGGTTTTTCATCACCGGTAGGTTGAATTTGTTTTAAAATCGCACCTATACCTTGAATGCTAGCATCTGTATAAATGTGTATTGGAAAGTGGATCAAAGATAGCTAGAATTGGTTTTGAGCAAAGTAGTTTTTTTATTGTATCAAAGGATTTTTGACATTTATCAGACCAAACGAATTTTTCTCCTTTTCTTAATAAATTATGTAAAGGATCCAATATAATTGAAATATTTGGGACATTTTCCATAGAAATTAATTTTTCCCAAAAATTGGCGGACATTTTTTTGTGTTTTTGGAATTGGGAATTCTTTTATGGCAATCAAATTATCTTTCAATGGAGTAACTGTATTGTTTTTTATTATATGCCCTAGATATTTTTACAGAGTCCTGCGCAAAGTTACATTTTGTAAATTTTAATTTGAAACCCTCTTTTAAAATTGCTTCCAATAACAAAGACACGTGCTTAATATGTTCTTGGAATGTTTCAGAAATAACTAAAATATCGTCAATGTAATTGACAGTAAAGTTTGACAATTTATGCTTTTTATTATGCTACTCAGTATTCTTTGAAAAATAGCGGGAGAAGTTTTCAAGCCAAAAGGTAAACAAGTCCATTGAAAGTGTGCTTCTTGAGTAACAAATGCCGTTTTGTGTCTATCTTCAATTCTAAGTGGTATAGACCAGAACGCAGAGTTTACATCAAATGTTGAAAAATTTTACATTTTCTTGTTTTAACCATCAGATCCTCGATTAACGGAAATGGTTGCGATTGGGGGGACTACAATTTTTTTAATTCGCGAAAAATCTATACAAAGCCTTGTTCTCCTTCCATCTTCTTTTTTTAAATGCTAGTGTTACCGGAGCGGCAAAAGGGCTATATGACTCCTCGATTAAATTATTTTGTAATAATTTTGATACTTGATGCTCGATTTCTTTCATATCCTCAATAGAGCATCTATACGGTCTTTTACTACAGTATTTATCTATCAACAAATCAATATGAGCTTCGTAACCTTTAACAGTCCCTATGTCATATTTGTCTTTAGCGAAAACGACACGAGAAACGACAGGTGTGGATATCCATGGACCCGGAGATGAAGGCGGTTTATTGTGATGAAGAAGGAAATAAACAATTTAAGGGATACTTATTGGAGGAACAAACAAAACCACAAACTTCTGCAGCAGGAATTTCGGAAGAATCTCTAACTAGAATCATGGAAAGCTTCGCAGACATAAAGAAAGATTCATCAAAACCTTTTAGTATGGCAAAAATGGTAGAAAAATTTGTTATACAAAAATACAATAAACAAGATATATATTGTAAAAAAAAAGGTGTGGACATAACAAAGAAAAATAAAAAAGAAACTATTGTTCATGAGTTTAGTATAAACTTTAATGAAAATATTATAGTCGAAAATTTTAATATTTCAGTAAATAATTTAAACCCACAGGAAAAATCTGAAATTGATAAATTGATATCCAAATATAGTTCAGTTTTCGCTAAATGTTGTTTTATAATAAGATATTATTTATTATATTGTCCTTGGATATGATGATGATGATGATGAACAGTAAAACTATAACCAAATTTTAGTTGCTCTGAAAAGAGACAATTTTATTTTATTACCTATTTACAAAATCTAGTTTTAAAACTTTTACAAAACATTCTTTAATAATAACTATGCACTAATTTTACCTGAAAAGAGAAACAACATTTAGAGCTATTGTTTCACCAGTTCTTATCAATTATTCTAATTACATTAAAATTCTTACTTGTACATAACAATTAACCATTTTACTTTTCATATTTTTCACAGTCATTCAATATGACAGTTTACTCCACAGATTAGCTATTTCACAGATCAAAAATACCTTACACTGCAAATCCAAACTATACAAACTAAATGAAGTGTCACGCACTTTGTTTACATAGATAAAATCCATAGCGTTCAATCTTCGCCTTGGTAAAGGAGCCCTTTTCTGTATCAATTTGCTTCTCGAATTCCATTCACCTCTCGAACTCTATTCACTGTTACTTACTTCCCAATGAAATAATGTCTAAGTTAAAGACTTTAATATTTTTTAACAAATTTGTTTGTATATAATTATGAAGTTTAAATTTACTGTTTATCTGACAGTGACTGACTGACGTGACGTATGAGCACCAGTCATTGCCAGCAAAAAGGAAATAAGAAAAACAAAATCAAAATCTGTTTGTAGTTTTTACACTGTATTTTAATGGATTTTCTAGTTTCTTGATAGTGATATGTGAAAATCTTATAATTAAAAAACATTCAGGATCGAAATTTTTAATTCAAGTTATAATAAAACACAAAATAAACAAAACCGGTAAAGTTACGGTTCGTTTTCTCTCTATATATTTCTTATGTAGCAACATCGGCATCTAATATGATTCAGTTATGAAATGAATTGAAGATGTTTCATATTTTATTGTTACCATTTTATGGTGATTTAGGTGATTCTCTAACAATTCATCAAATCTGTCATATTAGAAATGATTCATCCAATGTTACCTTTTTAGGCCCCCTGAACTCTTAGTATTTCTTCGTGTTCCTGATATTTTTGAAACGAAATACCTGGTACGCGTCGTAATACTTTTTCTAAAAATATGTACTTGGGTTGGTATAAGGTTTTTGAATAAATATAAACATTTCGAAATCTTAACCATTTCGTGTATAAGTAGACTAATGAGTAAATTTTTTTTCCACAATTTGACGGTCCGCAAATTATACAGCGTACTGAATTAGGTAATAATTTACTGTGACGGAAATCAGTTTTACAAAACTTTACTTCACATATTATGTTAATATTCAACGATTGTGGTTGTTTTACAAATTTCATGCTTACTGTGTGAAACAGTTCGAATAACAATGACAAATATTTTTTGTATGTTAATATTTATAAACCGTACGACTATGTATTTTGCGTTACTAGCATTAACCGAATCGATCGTTGACGATTGGGCATTCTGGACCATATCGATTATTGGGCGTTCTATACCACTATCGGCAGCGAGGCGCACTCGCCGAGCGACTTGCCGATAGTGGTATAGAATGCCCAATAATATACTACTAACGTTGTTTCACATCGCTCGTTTGTGAGGCCGGTGTATCACTCCGGTCGAGCCGGCCCAATCGTGCCGAAGCATGTATTTATCCTACTTCACAGTCAATATACGGGTTATTTTCAACAATCACTGCCTTCCACTCGTCGCAAGTGCGACTACCGAGCAACGGGTCTCGGGTTCGATTCCCGGGTCGGGCAAAGTATTACTGGGTTTTAAAAAAAATTCAGTAGTAGCACGGAGTCTGGAATTGTGCCCGGTATATGGCAATAGGCTCACCTTCACATGGGACTCGTAACATAAATAGTGAAAAGTGGGTGTTACATTGTACAGTGGCATAATGTGCACCTCTGCCTACCTCTTCGGGGATAAAAGGCGTGACGGTATGTTATGTTTATGTTTTCAACAATCAAAACTTTTAATATAAACAAGAACAACAACTTCGTTAGTGTTTGACATAAACGCAAGGCCAAGGGCATTGGCTTCGTTTAAAAAACAAAACAAAAGTTAATAAATAATAATATATAAAGCAATACCTTCGAATTGTGCTTTCACAATAATAAACAGACACACAAAAAGATAATGTAACAACATATTCAATTTTTAAACACCACTTTTTGTTTTTACACTAAAAAACTATGTTTAAAAATTTCATTCGATGCGACACGACCGTTCGCTATAGACGACGGGCGTCAACTAGCGGTATATTCACTTTAGCAACTAGTAAGTTTGCGGCGAGACACTGCAAAATGCTAATTAATGTATCAATACAAGTTTTATTATGATAACAGTAATTATTATATAGATTTATTCGCAAAACATGATTATTTATATTTTGTGTATGATGACATGACTAACATCGTCAGATAGGAATATATTTCTCATCACCGCTGCTCTTACTGTGGATGTCGTGCCCTCGTAGTAAGTCGCGGAGAACCTAACGGGTAACCGGGGCTCCGGCTCGATGTGCAGGAGAAGGAACGGGGTGGTTTTTAGTCAGTAAGAGTCTGACACTCCCTCCCGCCTCACCCAGATGGGAGCAGTCATTCGATGATTTTCCCCCCTTAAAAAAAAAAACATTATTACATTACATACTAGCTTCCGCCAGCGGCTTCGCCCGCGTTCCTGTGGGATAAAAAGTAGTTTATGTGTTATTCCAGAATATAATCTACCCTTGTTCCAAATTTCATCCCGATCCCTTCATCCTTTTTGATGTGATTACGTTACAAACATACACACAAGCAATGTTTCACATTTATAATATGAAGTAAGATTATATAGGTACTATTAATAGCTTTGGGTCATAATGCCCTCCGTATCTTATGACCTTTAATAGGTCATTAGCCTGAGACCATGAAGATATAATCGTATTACTCATAATAATCGTATTACTCATAATAAACTCACAAAAATATAAACAAAATAATTTAGTTTTTTCATAGGCAAACGAGCAGACGGATCATCTGATGGTAAGCAATCTGCGTCGCCCAACGACACCTGGAACACCAGAGACGTTACAAGTGCGTTACCGGGTTTTTGGGAATTAGGAGTTTGAGGTTTGGGGATTCAAGGATTGGGGAGATTGGGGAAGGGGAGGGTAATTAGGCGTCCGGTAACCGCACTCACACGACAAAACACAACGCAAGCGTTGCTTCACGTCGGTTTTCTGTGAGGCCGTGGTGTCACTCCGTTCGAGCTGGCCCATTCGTGCCGAAGCATGGCTCTCCCACACTTGACGTCAGTCAAACGTCCCCTATATAGGCGAGAGTAGGCTTTAGCGTGGTGTTCCGCGCTACTCGAAGAACGGAAGCAGCCTCCTTGGGCCGCTAAGGTGACGGGACTTGCCGCTAACATAGTGGTAGGTGGCCTGCCGGGTGTGGTGATTTCGTAAAGGCAACCCGGGTCACGGTCACAGGCAGTGAACGACCACCGCGGTGGTTTTAGCCAGTAAGAATCCGGCACGCCGCCTCATCGCTCGTCCCCACGACGTGGGAAGTCCATGAGGATATCCATCGCGATAGAAAAAAATGGTCTAAGAAACAAAGTGACGTCAAAATGTGTAAGACACAATCAACTTCATTTCTTTTTTTCATTTTTATTTGTGGTATTTCGATGAAAAACCCAGTTGATGACGTTAAATAAGGAAGTAATAGTTATTTAAAATCGACTTGTACATACGTTCGTCACGTCTCCTAATTTAATTAGGAAAACCGCTAAAACTAATGACGTCATCTAATGAATGAATTAGTTTAAATATTTTCTTAAGCACTGGGTTTTTCTAATCTAGTTTCTAATTCAATCATAAAGGAGGAAATATTGGGGTTTACCATTTTGCACCCTTGTATGTGCGCCACTTTCGCCGCTATTTTTCCAACATGGCGCATCGCCTTTCATGCCCGAAGGGGTAGGTACAGGTGCACATTATCTCCGGCACTAAATGCCACTGTACAATGTAACACCCACTTTTTAACTGTTTATGTTATGAGTCCCATAGGGGTGAACCTATTGCCATATACCGAGCTCAATTCCAGACTCCGTGCTACTGAGAGTTTTAAAAAAACCCAGTAATATTTCCCGACTCGGGAATCGAACCCTAGGCCCTTTGCGCGGCAGTCGCACATACGACCACTCGGCCAAGGCAGTCTAAGGATACACTAGGGCCTAGTGTAACTCACCTAAAGACTAGGAGACGTTCCAAGACATAGTTATATCGACGACATGTGGGTCGAGCGCAGCCGGCCGATGTCACCTCACAAACATGATGACAACGCGTAAGTTATGTCCACAGTGACTTTGGTGTTGCCAGACGTGTCGACCACACTGCGGCAACGTTGCGCTACTTCACACAACATCGCTGGCGACACGTGTCCTAGTGTATCCTCGGCTTTGTCGCGGAGAACCTAACGGGTAACCGGGGCTCCGGCTCGACGTGCAGGAGAAGGAACGGGGTGGTTTTTAGTCAGTAAGAGTCTGACACTCCCTTCCGCCTCACCCAGTCGGGAGCAGTCATTCGATGATTTTCATTTTCCCCCCATAAAAAAAAGACATGTACTTTTTCTTTTCTTAATTAAATACTTTTGATGATTTTACTTTTTCAAATATCGCAAGACGTCACTTTTGATTACGATTTAGTTATACTCTAAAATGACGTAGCTACCTCCCACTTCTAAACTTAAATCCGTTTTATCTAAGTATTGTTTTCTTATGTGACAAAATAAAAAAAATCGTGTCCAATATTTTTTCATTACCTACCTGACGGACTAATTAGATGTTTAATTTTTAATATCCTGTCATCATTCCTATTTATGCTCTGTTTTTTTTTTAAGCGGGGAAAATCATCGAGTGGCTGCTCCCGCCTGGGTGAGGCGGAAGGGAGTGTCAGACTCTTACTGACTAAAAACCACCCCGTTCCTTCTCCTGCACGTCGAGCCGGAGTCCCGGTTACCCGTTAGGTTCTCCGCGACTCCGAATCGGCATCGGCCCTATTGGGCCTCATCTGTGGTGGTCTGATGGCTCTTTGAGGCGCGTGCGGAACGCGACGCGCCGTTCGCTCGGGTCTGTTTCTGGTCGGACGGGGAGCCACCCATGCTCGCCGTCCGCAGGCCCGCGCTTACGGTGGCCGGAGATCGTCCCGCGATCATTTATGCTCTGTTAGGTTTCACCGTGTCAAACACATTGTAACAGACTTATTTTAAAAGAGTAACATATGGAGTTTAATACTATTATTTATTTTTTATTTGTTGAAGTTTCATCATCATCAACAGCCTATAAATGCCCACTGCTGAGCAAAGCCTCTTCTCACACGGAGAAGGTTTGAGCATTAATCACCACGCTTGCTCAATGCGGGTTGGCGACTTCAAACTTATAATTAGAAATTATAAGTCCAGGTTTCATCACGATGTTATTTCTTCACCGTTTGTCAGTGGTGTCTAAATAATCTTAGAAAGTACATATAACTCGGAAAAAGTCACATTGGTACTTGCCGTTGGTAGGTTTCGAGCCCGCACCCTCATGCGTGAGAAGCGGGCGTCTTAAACCGGGCCACCACGGCGTTGACGTTTCAAAAGTATCAAACAAAGGTTTAATTGAAACAAATGCTTTGACTTTGACTTTGACTTTGTTAGAGGCGCAGCTCCTATACATAAAGGTCAGTTAATCCCGGCATTTATGACTACTTATTTCAAGATATTTACAAATATAATGACTTTGTTCTATTCAGGGTCTCGATATTTGACGCATGAATCATATAACGCGGCGGGCATAAAGATAAAATATTTACGCTTGCCGCGTTAATTGTAATTTTTTACATAACTCCAGGTATTTATTACTACTTATTTCTAGATTTTTACAAATATAATGACTTTGTTCTAACTTGTGTGTCGATGTTTAACGCATGAATTATATAACGCGGCGAGCATAAATTTATGAACTTTAGGTTTGACACGTTTATTGTGAACTCCTCTCCTCCTTAACCAGCATAACGGCTCCCTGATTCCCCTCACTCCGCACCAGGGACTGAACACCGGACGTAAGAAGTCAACGCGGTATTCAGCCAAACACCGTCACCGTGGTGGGTTCCGCAAAGGTGACCTCTGAGTAAATTCCTACCGCCGAATCCAAGCACCATTTAGACCCGAGATAGTAATTTTCCATTTAATTAAACCACTAAATGGTTAATAATTTGAATTTTTATTGGATCGTAAAGGAAGTAGAACTTGACATCTGGAGTTAATTTAAAACAATTTAAAGGCTTCTCATCTAATCACGAATTATAATGGAGTTCACAATCTATGAAGCATAAACTTTTAATCAATTCCCGTTCCCTTAAAAGTATGAAATACTCTACACCTCAATACCCTTGTGAGGCGTTTCAAGTTGTCTATGGATCGCGCTCCAGGAGCGGGGCTTACAGCGCCGCTATTTTTCACCTTAATCTTTCTTAAAAAGTTGTTAAAACTATTAATTTTACTGCTTCAAAACTCCTCATCGTTGTCATGAGATCCGTAAAAAATGGCAGTATCACCACCACCACTTTGATACGTTTAACTTGGAAGAGCGCTAGTGACGTCCCGCACTAAAGGCCTGTCCAATACCCATCTCATAGAGATTACAAGTAATATTTAAATTTTATCTACGTAATATTTTATGCATCGATAAATAGCAGCATAAAGTTACAAATTTTACACACGATTGTACATATTTACAATACTTATTATTCGGTGTCTCGATGTTTTTCGCATGAATTATATAACGCGGCGAACATAAGGCTAACCTTACGGTCGCCGCGTATACAGTAATTTTTCATCTAGTATGTTCATCGGTCTTTGTCGCAAGAATTATACTAACCCAGCAAGCGTGAGGTTAGGTATACCCTTACGCTTGCTGGGTTCAACTGGATCCACATTATTTACAAATATAATGACGTTGTTCTAACCTGTGCGTCGATATTTGACGCACGAATTATATAACGCGTTAGTTGTATATTTTTCCATAACTCCCGGCATTTATTACTAGTTACTTCATGATATTTACAAATAATAATGACTTTGTTCTAACCTGTGCGTCGATATTTGACGCATGAATTATATAACGCG